TGAAGGAAATTGAAGATGACACAAAGAAATGGAAAGATGAAATGATCATGGAAGCACACACACACAAAAATTGCTACCCAAAGCATTTTACAGATTTAATGCAATCTCTGTCAAAATACCAACAGCATTTTTTTTTTAAGTTTTATTAAGTAATCTCTGCACCCATTATGGGCCTTGAACTCATGACCTCGAGATCAAGAGTTGCTCACTTTTCCAACCCACCAACAGCATTTTTCACAGAACTACAACAAATCCTAAAATTTGGGGCGCCTGGGTGGCTCAGTTGGTTAAGCAGCTGCCTTGGGCTCAGGTCATGATCCTGGAGTCCCAGGATCGAGTCCCGCATCGGGCTCCCTGCTTGGCGAGGGGCCTGCTTCTCCCTCTAACCCTCCCCACTCTCATGTACTCTCTCTCTCATTCTCACTCTCTCAAAAAAATAAAATCTAGAAAAACAAATAATCCTAAAATTTGTATGGAACAACAAAAGACCCCAAATAGCCAAAGCAATCTTGAAAAAAGAAAAAACTGGAGGTATCACAATTCCAGACTTAAGTTATATTACAATGCTGTAGTAATCAGTATGGAACTGGCACAAAAGTAAACACATAGATCAGTGGAACAGAATAGAAGATCCAGAAATAGGGGCGCCTGGGTGGCTCAGTTGGTTAAGCGACAGCCTTCGGCTCAGGTCATGATCCCGGAGTGCCGGGATCGAGTCCCACATCAGGTTCCCGGCTCAGCAGGGAGCCTGCTTCTCCCTCTGACCCTCTCCCCTCTCATGCTGTTTCTCTCTCTCTCCCTCTCTCAAATAAATAAATTAAATCTTTAAGAAAAAAAAAGATCCAGAAGTAATCCCACAATTATATGGTCAATTCGTCTTCAACAAAGGAGGAAAGAATATGCCATGGAAAAAAGTCAACAAATGGCATTGGGAACACCCAACAGCTATATGCTAAAGAATGAAATGGGACCACTTTCATCACACACAAAAATAAACTCAAAATGGATTAAAGACTTAAATGTGAGACCCAAAACCATAAAAATCCTAAAGAGTACAGACAGTAATTTCTTTGACATCAATCACAGCAGCATTTTTCTAGATAGGTCTCCTAAAAGCAAGGGAAATAAACTACCGGGACTACATTAAAATTAAATGCTTCTGCACAGCGAAGAAAAGAACAAAAACTAAAAGGCAACCTGTGGAATCAAAGAAAATATTTGCAAATGACATGTGATAAAGAGTTAATATCCAAAATATATAAAGAAATGGTACAACTCAACACCCAAAAAATAAATAATCCAATTAAAAAATGGGCAGAAGACATGAACAGACATTTCTCCACTAAGAAGACATCCAGATGGCCTACAGACACATGAAAGGATGTTCATCACCACCATCAGGGAAACGCAAATCAAGACTACACCTCACACCTGTCAGAATGGCTAAAATCAACAACAAAAGAAACAACAGGCGTTTGCCATGATGTGGAGAAAAAGGAACTCTTGTGCATTACTGATGGGAAGGCAAACTGTTGCAGCCATTTTGGAAAACAGTACGGAAAACAGTATTCCTCATAAAGTTAAAAATAGAACTACCCTATGATGCAATAATTTGGGTATTTACCCAAAAGATACAAAAACACTAATTCAAAGGTATACATGTACTCCTATGTTTAGTGCAGCATTATTTACAATAGCCAAATTATGGAAGCAGCCCAAATGCCCATAGATAGATGGAATGGATAAAGAAGTGGTGGTATACACACACACACACACACACACACACACACACACACACTGGAATATTACTCAGCCATACACAATGGAATATTACTCAGCCATAAAAAAATGAAATCTTGCCATTTGCAACAACATGGATGGAGCTAGAGAGTATAACGCTGAGAAATAAGTCTGTCAGAGAAAGACACATGCCATGTGATTTCACTCATATGTGGGATTTAAGAAACAAAACCAATAAGCAAAGGAAAAAAAAAAAAGAGGGAGACAGGCAAACCAAGAAACATTCTTAATTATAGAGAACAAACTGATGGTTACCAGAGGGGAGGAGGATTAAAGAGTACATTTATCATGATCAGCACTGAGTAATGTGTAGACTATGTCGACTCACTATATTGTACACCTGAAACCAGTGTAAAACTATGTTAACTACCCTGGAATTAAAATTAAAAACTTTTAAGAACTTAAAAACAAAATGTTAAGACAAATTTAAATCTCACCAGTAATGTTTGAGAGTTCCTCTTGCTATTTAACTACACTACTACTTAGTATTGTCTAACAGTTTAACTTTTACCAGTTTGATGGGTGTGAAATGATATGGGATTATGGATTAAATTTGCATTTCTCTTTTTCAAAGAGGCCGAATATCTTGTCATGTGTTTGTTAGCCATTTCACCTTCCTCTCTGTAAAGTTACATGTTCAACTCTTTTGCCATTTTCCTATTGGATTCTTTTTCCTTACTGATTTCTGAGTATTTACATAATCTCGATATATACTTTATTATTTGTAAGTATCACAAATATCTTCTCTGAATTTGGGGCTTACCACTTTTTTTTTTTTTAAAGATCTTTAAATTCTTAAATTTAATGTAGCTCAAGGATTGTCTTTTCTTTATGACTACTGCTTTTTGTATCTTAACTTTTTCGCTGAGGTCATAGTATTTTTTATTTTATTTTTAGATTGATTTATTTGACAGAGAGAGAGCACGTGCACAGGCAGGAGGAACAGCAGAGGGAGAGGGAGAAGCAGAGTCTTCGCTGAGTGGGGAGCCTGATATGGGGCTCGATTCCAGGAGGACCCAGGGATCATGACCCTTAGCTGAAGGCAGACGCTTAACTGACTGAGCCACCCAGGTGCCCCGGTCATAGTAGTATTCTATATTGACTTCTAAAACCCAATATAATGGTTTCTCTAAAACTCAGTGTAGGGTAGGGGCACCTGGGTGTCTCAGTTGTTTGAACTTCTGCCTTCAGTTCAGGTCGTGATCCTAGCCCCATGTTGGGCTCTCTGCTCAGTGGGGAGCCTGCTTCTTCCTCTCCCTCTGCCTACCGCTCTGCCTACTTGTGCTCTGTCAAAGAAATAAATAAAATCTTAAAAAAAAAAAAAAAAACTCAATGTAGGCTAAAAACGGGAAGAAGGCAAAAATGGCTTTTTTATTTTTATTTTCAATCCACTTGCATTTGATTTTTGAGTGGTTCAAGGAAGGGTTTAGTTTTTTTTGTCCATTCTGATGATTGGTGATTATCTTGATACCATTTATTATGTGGCATGAATTGGGGTCAGATTTCTTTTCCCTATGGATATCCAGTTGACACAGCACCACTTATTTCAAAAATTGCCCTTTCTCTTCTGCTTTGTGGTATTATTATAAATCAGGTGCTCGTGTTGGTATGCATCTGTTTCTGTGATGTTTATTACCTTTCATTGTTCTGTTTCTCCTTGAGCCAATATCATGCTCTCTTAATTACTGCAGCTTTGTAATAAACTTTGATATCTGGTAGAGCAATTTCTCTCACCTTTTGTTCAAGGACTATTTTGGACCCTTTTCCTTTTGATATAAATTATAGAATCAATTTATCTTTCCTTCCAGCTCCCTACCCCCCTAAAACTAATAACCTGAATCTGTAGATAAGTTGGCAGAGAGTTGGAACTTCTACTTTAGAACTTGACTCTAACAGTCCCTGAGTATGACCTAGTTCTCATTTACTTAGATGTTTTCTTAATATTTTGATTTTCTGTAAAGGCCTTATATATCTTGATTTTATTCCTTGGTATTTCATACTTTTATGTTTTTGTTAATGGTATCTTTTAGAATTATATTTTGTTTGCTGGCATACAGAATGCAGTTGAATTTTATATTTTTACATGAGGATATTGCCAAACTCGTTAATTCTAATAATTTATTTGTAGAACCTTTTTTGATTTTTACAGTGATGTTTAGAAGCTCCAGTACTGTGTTATTCTGAATAGCAGTATGATAGAGGACATCACTTTCTTGTTCCTGATCTAGAAGGACAAAATGCTCACCATTTGAGTATAGTGTTTTCTTCAGGTTTTTTGTAGATACTTCTAATTAGGTTAAAGAAGTTCCCACCTATTTGTTGTTATGCTGAATTTTCATCATGATAAATTTTAGAATGTTATCAAAGGGGTGTGTGTGATATTGGTACAACAGTTTCCTATTGTCTTGTTTAGGAGTTTTGCAACTGTGTTTATGGGTGAGATTAAATTACACTTTTTTCTTTATAGTCCCATTAGGTTTTGGTATCCCAACCTTGAAATAGGAGTTGGAAACTCTTCTCAGAAATGTTCTTTTTCCCCTCTATACTGTAGAATAATTGTGTTACATTGGGATTACCTATCCTTAGAATGTTTAGAATTTGCAGATTGTTGTTTTTTGTGTGGAAAGATTGTGACTTGACTTCGAGTTCTGTTAAGTTGCTTAGCTCTTCAGTTTTAGCTTTTTTTAAAAAAATATATAAGCCTTTAAGACTGTACATTTTCTTCTGAACATCACTTAGCTGCAATTCTGCAACTATTGATATGGGTACATTGTTTAACATGCTACGTTGCTCTGTTAGGGTCCAGGTTTTCTTCTTAAATATCTGAATAAATTGGACAAAGGATTGTTACCAAGGACTATTCATTTAAGCACCTTATTTGAACACTGGCAAACCACTGTGCCAGATGCCATTGTTCCTACATAAGTGAATAGGGTTAAAAAGTCTCGTGGTGGTATGTGGAAAAATGGCTTAAGATTTAACATTAAAAAATACACAATATTCAATTAAATGAAGACTGTTGGTGAATGTTAGAGTGTAAAAGAACTCAAGTTGATCATCTGTTCCCTGCCTTACCCCCAATGCAAGAGAGACATTGAACCGAAAAATTGAATAACATCATCATGGTAAATATGTGTTAATAGCATCAGGCTCTCAAACTATGCCAGAGAAATCTTTTGGTAACACCCTGTTTTTCCTAGGTGTGAGGATGCCTTAAGAAAAAATAAGAGCTTAATTGGGCCAGATCAAAAGGAATATCAAAGGGAACTGGAGAGAAACTATCATCGCCTTAAAGAGGCCTTACAGCCTCTGATAAACAGAAAGATCCCGCAGTTATACAAGGCAGTATTACCTGTCACCTGCCACAGGTATGCTCCTTTTTGTCTATTATTTTGGGTATCTGCAGGAAAATGAAATCTGCTTGGTTTAATAATAATGAATTAGTGTAACTTTTATTACATGGTTTCAGATACTGTCTCTTAAAACCTAACAAGTTCAACTAGCCTATTATGAATAACCCTATTATGAATCAGCCTACAAGACAGAAGTCAGTTCTTTCTGTAATTTGAGGATAGTAAAGTTGTGTTAAATACACGTACTAACCAAGACACAACATGTAAGTCTGGCCTCCTAAAACTATTTCTTTTAAAGTCCTGTCACACTTTATTTGTATCGGAGAATTTACTAGAATGTATCAGGAGCCAGATATTCATTTTCCTCAGCCCTAACAGTAAGTAGTATTAAGCGTATATTCTTCTAGATTTGTATTAAAGCAGGCTACCCTATTGAGTATCAAGAGGGCTTCAGTATTTTTCTCCACTAATTGTGACAAATAAAACAATACTTACCTTTAAGAGGTTGTTACAGAAATTAAATTTTAGGCATGTAAAGTTCCAAGCAGCGTTTTAACATTTTACTTTAGCACCTGAATTCTGGAGAGGGCATGAGAACTGCTGAACATTACTAACTGCCCTTTTTTTGCATATTGAAATCCAAATATACATACAACCATTGAGTATTTTACCACCCTTTTCTTTGAACTAGCAACAGTAAAGCTATTAAATTGTACTTAATTGTACTTAATTCTTACAAATGGGTTATTTTATAAAATAATAATTTGAAATTTTCTTAATTTCTAATATGGTAAATGTCAATTTGAATCCACATAAACAAAAGCTTCCTGGGGTCCTCAGTTTTTAAGTGTAAAAAGGATCTAAAACCCAAGTTTGAGAACTGCTGAATTCTTAGGATTTAAAATTTTAAATAAGCAGCACCTGCCTTTTCCCTTTTAATAATCACAAATCTCTTGAAATCTCTCCTGTTATCCCTTTGCTCCTGTTTTATCACAATACCTAATACACCTCTTGGACAAATGAATAAATGATCAATGCACTTGGCAAAGTGGTTACTGTAATATACTTTTAATCTATAAAACTAGACTATATAAGGCAGAATGTATAGGATGAACATGTAACTTGAAAGTTAAGAACTTTGATGGCAAAAACATTTTCAGTTTTTGATGGCAAACTTTGAGCTGGCTCTGGTAGAAAAAAAGTACGTAAAGCGTATTTTAAAGGAATATGCAAAAATTGTTTACTTATAATTATATCCTTTCATTTTTCTCCCCAGAGATTCCTTCAGTCGGATGAGCCTGCGCAAAATGGATCTTTAAAATAAATGCACTTGTCTTATTCATTTGAAGAGAGCCATGTATTCAACACTGAGTATGAAAAGAAGTTAAGATTCATTGAAAAACAAGACTTGGGGCTTAATTCTGGAAATTCTGGCATTAATTTACTACTCATTGAAGAACGCAGTGGCCAGAACAGTATCAAAAGTAGATCACTGAAGTTTGAGAATCATGGCCATGGTTTCTCATGTTCTGGTAATATGCTGTTATCTTTTTTTAAGACTCAAAAGTAATGACTCACTATACATTTACTATTATTTATACCATAGCTAATGTTAAATTTATTTACTTTAAGTTTGTATTTTTTAATTTATATTACCATTTATAGATTCATTTTGGAACCATTTTAAATGTAGTAATGCTTATTTTGAAGGTACTATTAAATATGTGAACGTTTACACTAATTTTACCGAGTGAGACTTTCAAAATTTTTGTTGACAAAAGCAGAGAATCTTGAATTAAGAACTAGTTCCAAAACTAGCAAAGTTCTAAAAATGAAAAATTGACATTGTATGGGCCAGAGAGCCCCAAATTAAATAAATGAATAAATGGGTAGTAGATAGATACTGGTAACTGGTTTGTGAAGTCTTAAAACAGGTTTCTAAGGTACTTTCCATTTAGAAACCAAAGAAAGGGATTCAGGATAAACTGCAGAGTAATTTTACCTAACTAAACTTTTGTCTGTAAGTAACGATTGAATACTGGGATAGCTGCTACCAGTCACAGTAGCTTAATCTTTGACTCTCAATCTTGTTACACTGATAGTAGTATGAACTTCATGACTCTCAGCAACTAAAGTGAATGATTCCTATGTTTCAGATTAAACAAGCCAGTCATTTTATGAGTTTGGTCATCTAAACTGGTAAACTAGAAATCTGCTTTAGAGCTATCTTACATCACCACAAAAATGACACTGAGAAGCTGGTGTTCGATTTTAATCTACGAGTTGAATGAAAAGTTTTATATTTTAACGCTTGTATAGACTTTATAAAGTATATGTAAAAGATAAAATTAGCTGTTTTAATTGAAATTAAGAACTAATTTAAAATAACTGACATGAAAAACTAAGGCAAAAATCTTTTTGAAAATATTTATTCCAATTACTTGGCAAGTTTATCCAAGAAACTACATATTAATGATTTTTGGAAGTGTTTTCAACAATGTTTTTTTTGTGTGCAGTAATATAGCTTATAGAAAGGCATCATTTTTAATCTGTCCCTTTGATCTATTGACCAGTGACATGAATCACTTAAAAACTGATTAAATATGGTGCCTTCATTCTGTAGTTGATGTTGAAACAAGATCTCAAAAATACTGCTTTTCCTGAGACCATAGGGGATGGTTGATCTCCTTTCTCCAGCCTACCTTTATAACCGGCACTATTATCTCAAATTCATCTTACCTACATCAATTCAAAGACTGAATCACAAAAAGATTTTTCAGATGAGTCAACAGTGTTGGACCAGAAGGGCTGAGGAGTCAGAAAGGCATAACCTCAAAAACTTGGGGACAGAGGATCCACATGAACAATAAGGAAAAGACAAGGAGTCAAGAATGGAAATTCATTAAACAAAAATAAGGTAACAAGTACTCTCTCCTCTTTAGGGCAAGGGATGGGGGAGGTGTACATAAGGGAGAGAATATTAAGTAATCCCTAGGTCATTACTCATTAGATTATATTACGTAAGAGCTTGGAATAGTTCACATAAATCTCAGTGACACTATCAAAAACTCTAGAATTTATATAATTATGATTTAATTACCATGCAATACTGTTTTCTGACTTGAATAAAAACAGGCTTCCTCTGAGAACAATGGTATAATACTAAACACTTCCTTAATTCCCACATACTTCAGTTTTCTTAAAACATAAACTTTCTCATATCAAGAATCTATACCAAGTTCTTAACATTGGCTGTCTCTTGAGTATGAGGCCCAGGCTCTATCCTAAAAGTACTCCATCAGAAGCTTATGGGTAGTGTTCAGGGCTGTTGCATTTTAAAAGTTCCATTAATGATTCTTTCTCTATCAGAAACGGGCTATTTCTTTTTAAAAGTTCCATTAGTGATTCTGAATGTAGGATGAAGTGAGGACCATGATGTTTTATATCACACCATCTTGTGGAAGAATATATATTAGACATGATTTAACTGTGTGATTAATTTATTAGTTGACAGGTACTCTTGTTGAAATGGGGGTATAAAAGTGTTATTCTAATAGCATTTATATATTCTTTAGGTAATTGATCATTTACCAATTTAATATACATTTAGAATGAAAATTTAACCACATTTTTGTGTGTGCACAAAGCATCATCTTTACAGATTCTGTAAAGTTATGTCTACTTTAAAGGACAACTAGAATGCAACAATTTTTACTATAAACTTCTTTTAAGTACAGCGTGGATGGACTAAGCAGTTTCTATTCGAAAAATCTCTTCACCTCCAACTGTCACAGTATTATTAAAGGTAATTATGCATGTTTATTCTCTTCTAGGTATGTGTGTGTGTGTATATATATATTACACATACACATACATTTTCTTAACTCAGCTATAGTTACGGTAAAAAAAAATATGCAAGTAAAAATGAGCAGTTATATACATAGTTGTTAAGCAGTTTAAATTTTATTGACCTCCCAGTTTTTAAAAAAAGTTAAATTTAAGGTCACACCTCTAAATTTGATATACTATATACAGATCGTGCAGAATATGACTATGAAGAGATACAAATTAGTCCATGCCCAAAAAGATTTACTAGAATACAGAATCATTTTCATAAATACATATAAAATTCTTGTGAAGATAGAAGGGGACTGGCTGTCCAGGTTTTCTGAGACACTTTTCAAAGTGATTCAAGGCACAAAATGTACACTACTGTGAATACACACATATTCCAGACTTTGTGCCTTTAAATACAGCCCATTAAAGATTTGGCTTCATGACTTATAAAACTAAATGTACTGAGATTCTGCTTTTTAGCTGAAAAACCACAGGACCTATAAACATCATATAGATAATTACTCCAAAATATGGATACAAATACAAGCACTTTATTTTAAAAAGCAAACACGAAAGAATAGGTGTAAATTCAAAAGTGTTTAAATGCTTCCCATTTGAATAATTCAATTAAGAACCTATACAGGTTTGTTCCCAGAAGCTAATGCATCACTAGTCTCTACTACGGGAAATGAATCCTAAAAATTAACATGGTTTTCAGTAATTCAAATGTCACTATTTATATAAAAACCTAGAGAGACCAATAATATCCAATAGCTTCAAAAGATAAGCTAGACTCTTTGATGTAATCAACTTTACCAGCTTTTGTCCAGGTCTGTTTAATATATACATAAGGAAAATACTCTATAATTTCTTATAAAATAGCAAATAAGGAGTAGATGTAGGAGATGTAGAAGGGGAAAGAGAATTCAAAAAGTCCTTCTCTTCTGTAACTTTCACTTCAGAATCATCAAAAAGTAACCACTTCCCCTCATACTCCTTTAGGCTTTGTACTACATATGAAATTTTGTTCTCAAATCCACTAAAGTTAATGCCTGTTTGGTCACTGGATTCCTTGTTTGCATCAAATTCATGGGTCCCGTTAGTATTGTTAGTCTCAGAATTTCTATTTTCATCAAACACTGTACTGGCAACTTTATCGGGATTAGATGCTTTGTTGTATAGCTCATAATCTGCTTTGCTCTTTTGTCCTCCAAGAAGTCCAACAGCTTCTACATTTTTTTTGTTCAAAACTTTACTTGACTGTGTATTTCCACTGACTCTAATTGACACTTCTTCATCATCATAATTTTCAACCACACCCCTTGCTTCCTCCTCATTCAATGGTTCTGGCTTACCTATTTCACACATTTGGTCGATCACAAAATTTCCCTTATCTAGTTCTAAACTGTTAAGGTCGGTGACTTTAACAGAAGCAGTGTAATGCCCACTACTGATGGTAATGCCACTGTGCATCACAACCGCAAATAATCCATAGCTGTCGTTGGTTGGCTTTGTGCTCCATTCTTCTAGTGACAATTTAAGAGGTGTCAGTAAAGGAGTGTTGATCTTGGAAAGTCCACCACCATAACAATCAAACCTTTGGAAGGAAAAAAAAAAAAAGGGGTTTTCTGCAATTCCACTTTACATATATTCAGTTTTACCCCCAAATGTGAAACCAAGTAGAAGTCTGAATGACCCTTAATATTTAGTGCTTTATATAAACATAAAATAAAAACCAGACTCTAATTTTGTATACTTATGTATACAAAGAAAAAATACTGAAGTGCTAATATTCAGCTGTTTCTGTGAAGGATATATGGCATTCTCCCTTTCATTTTCTCTACTGTCCTCATTTTGTACAATGAGAAAATCAGTTTTTAAATGCCATTTAACTTCAAAATCTTTTATATTTTAGTTAAGTAATTTTAATGTGAAGGCTTTCTCTACCAGGATTTGGGGAGCAAAGAAAATGTCCACTGAAAGAAAGCACTGTGTGTCATCTTCAGGCATAATAATGTGTGTAGAGAACTACCGGAAAGCCCTCATGGTAATTTCAAACAATTCATTTACATGTATACATGGCACAATCTTAAATTTTCAACAAGAGAAGAATCTCTCATTCTTCAAAGAACTAGTTTGACTCCTGGCTTACTTTGAAAATGAAATAATTCTGCCTTTTTCTCCCCTAAAAAAAAAAAATCAATGTATATAAAATCTCTTTGTTGCTTTAATCAATTTAATTTGAAACTGTTTCTAATAACGAATGAAAATTAAAAAGATGTGGGAAGAAATCCTAGAATCTGTATTCATACCAAAAGGATTTAAATTGTTGCATTTTTACAAGAAAACTGTTGAGAACACTTTTCTAAGGTAATCTTTATAAATTACTTCATTTCAGTTTATATTATGCTATTACACTATTTTACTATTATAGTATTTTGAACAAAACTTCTTATAGAGCTCATTTTTTTTCATGTAGCTTTTATTTATAATACTCACTCCAAGCCACTAGCAGCAAAGCACTTCAAATGAATAGTTATAACTTCAGGCATTTTGTCAAACAAAAGACTTCGTTCGGCTTCAGTATAATGATGGCAATTTTCACAGAAATATTTATCTTCTCCTACAATCCTCTCCACTGAAGCAAACTGTGAAATTGCCCATCTCAGGGTCTTCATTTCTGTTTTTGGCTCTGGAGAAACTACATAAGAGAATTCCTTTCACTCACAAATGAAAAACCCCTCAGACATTTAAAATTAAACAAGGTCCATGTTCAAAATTAACATGCAATTTCAACTGACTAATCCTTCCCAAATAATAAAAACATTGAGTTTCAGGAACTTTTAAGTTCATCCTCAGCAGTATACATATCTTAAAAATATTTATATTTGGACAGCCAAAAAG